ATATAATGCTCAATGCTTATATGTACATTACAATAATTAGCTTACTGCAGTTTTAGTTTTGAGTTGTTTTGCATCTTTTAAGTGCTGCATTGAGCGTGCATTCTTCCCTTTACCAATGTAGAATATTGATTCTACAAACTCATTGAACTGAATGCTAGCAGTTGATGATGAAAGCATTACAGGGTCTAATAGCATGTAATTGAAATATGTTTTTGATTGACTTGGAGCTCTGAATTCAGCAAATACAGTCTTCTCATCTTTTTGAAGGCATGGCATATCAATAGTGCCATTAAGACACAGAGCAAGCTCATACTTAAAGCCTAAATATTATAGCAATAATACTAATAATAATAATAACAATAATAGTTTCTTGCCTTTGTATCCTTTGTTGCCAGCTGGTTGTGTCCCATCCAGTATCTTTTGCAAATAAGAAATGTAAGCATTTCTTGTTGCACTTGTTATAGGGCCAGGCTCTTCACCTAACGATTCAAGCTTTTGCTTTAATTGTTCATTTGTTAATGATGACAATACTGCTCTCTCCTGCTCTTGCTTCTGTAAACACGCTTCTTCTTCATTTTCAGTGGCTTCATTTTCTGCTTCTTCTCTACTTTCTTCCTCTGCTTCTTCCTCCTCTAAGTCCTCTTTCTCCAGTCTCAAACTTGACATTTTCTGTACAATAGATTTATCTGGTGTACCATCATAGATGACAGCATTCTCAATATCTGTTATATCAAATGGAAGAGTCTCATCAATATCAACTGCTTCAGCATTAGACTTATTCCTCAAGCAAGACGTCTCATTATTTTTCGCTTTGTTAGCAGTTGGCAATGAAAATAAGTCATCAGCAGGTGTGCCGCTATCTTCAATATTGGATACTAAAAGACTAATGTCAAATGGTAAAGTGCTGTCTTGATCAATGCCACTAGAAATTGTTCCGTTACTATCCTCAAAGTTTTTACTAGCAGATCCCATTACTATTTTTACAAACGTCTCGCATACGCTCACTTCTTCTCTCTCTTTATCTCCTATTCCATTTAGCATTGCTAGTATATCATAGTGTCCTTCCTCCATTGCATAATCAGCAGGAGTCATGCATTCAGTGTCAATGATGGTAGGATCAGCACCTTCTGCTAACAATACTCTCACTCCATCAGCAGACCCATTCATTGCTGCTACATGTAATGGAGTATAGCCATCAGTAAGAGTACGGGAATTGATGTCTGCACCAGCTGAAATGAGTATAGAGGCTATCCTGGGGCTCGAGTTAGCTGCTAAGTGAAGGAGACTTGTGCCATCTTCATCACTAACAGAAGCATCAATTGAGTTTTGAGAAAGAAACTCTTCCAGGAGCGTCTCAGCTACTCTAAAAATAATAAAGATAAAATCTATGTCACTTTTCCTGCTTGCTGAGTGCCTACTTCTCTTCTCCATTGAGCACTGCTTCAGTTAAGAGCAAGAATGTGTTGTCCTTTCTTACTGCCATTATTTTTGCCACCACAAGATTCAAATTAATTGATCATGAATAATTCATCTAATTATGTTTGTATGAATATTTTTTTCTCATGAATATTTCCACCTCATTAAAGATCAACTCCACCTCGAGGCTCGAGCTCCTCCTCAAAAGCAAAAGAACAACATGAAGAAAGTTGATAGAACAGTTATTTTACCATTGAGCAAGAAGAGACCCAGGAGGGGGCCGATCTCCATCATTAGGGAGCATTACTTAAGAGATGACATACCCTGTCGCATGAAACAATGTGGAATATGTGATCAGACACTGTCTGACAGTAAGAAATTATGACAAGATTTATGATTTTTGATTCTTAATGATTATTATAAAGCTCAATGCATGTTGACTGAAGATTTATCTCATTATTTGTTGCCTGATGTCAATGTTGTTGAAAGATTTCATGAAGTGCTGGAGTACCCAACATTAAGAGGTGTCATCGTCACTCAGACTGCATCAGATAATGTGAGAAAAATAAAATAGTCTGTGAAATTTTTTTGCATAAATCAGTCATACATGGGGAGGCGCAAACAAAAGCCTGTTTAGCAAAAATGGCAATACAAGAATTCTCCGTTTTTATAACATTTAATGATGCATATAATTGTGCTTATGTTGTGTCAACATTATGAGTAGATTCCAATTAAAATTATGTTGCTGAAAATCTGGGCAAAAACCCTGTACTCTAATAGTACAGGGTATTTTGTAAAAAAAATCAAAAGGAGAGAATTCTTCATTTTTATAATTTTTGATACATATACATGTACTTATGTTGTGTAGAAAGTTTAAACTGATTCCAATCAAGTTTCTATTTTTACAATTTTTTTTTAATTTGCTCCAAATTTGGGCCAAAGTCTTTGTGTTATAGTACAAAAATTTTGGCCAAATTTTATCAACATGGCTAGGAGAGAATTGTCCATTTTTATATTTTTGTCTGTTGTACTTTTTTCTGATGATATACTGTACATGTACTTATGTTGTGTACTGATGTTGTTATTACTTTATATGAATTTTGAAAGTAATATGTACTTAAATTTTGCTATTAGTGATACATATGTCATACTGTATAGCGGATTTATTTTGAAGATAAAATTTTGCGAATGACCTGTACCTGGAAGTTTACCGGAATTAATTTTCACAAATT